GCAACATCTGCCTCCCAGGTTCAGGCGATTCTTCTGCCTCAGTCTCCCTAGTAGCTGGGATTACAGGCATGCACCACTACGCCCAGCTAATTTTGTATTTTTAGTAGAGACGGGGTTTCTCCATGTTGGTCAGGCTGGTCTCGAACTCCCAACCTCAGGTGAGCCACCGCACCCGGCCAGTACACTTCTATTCTGTGAGAATCAGAGATGATTTCTGGGGAAGATGGGCCAGAGGAGAGTAAGTGAGAGAAGTGTCCACATGCACAGCTCTCATGGTTCTGCCCTGAGAGCCTTCCTCCTGCAACTTTATATATTTATTTATTTTGAAATAAGGTCTCACTCTGTCACTGAGGCTGAAGTGCAGTGGTGTGATCACAGCTCACTGTAGCCTCGACATCCCAGGCTCAAGCAATCCTCCTGCCTGAGCTTCCCGAGTAGCTGGGACTATAGGCGCATGCCACCACGCCTGGCTAATCTTTTATTTATTTATTTATTTATTTATTGCAGAGATTGGGAGTCTCACTCTGTTGCTCAGGCTGGTGTCAAACTCCTGAGCTCAAGTGATCCTCCCAACTTGGCCTCCCAAAGTGTGGGGATTATGGGTAGGAGCCACTGTGCCTGGCGCCTCCCGCAACTTCCTCAAGTGGAACCAATGAGGAAGCAAGCAACCCAGGGGTTTCACAAGTTCTGATTTTAATCAGCAACGGGCTACCAATGTAACCAGCCTCAGTAGAGAGGGACTGGAGGTGAATTGGCCCCTATCGCACCCCCAGAGTGCCAGGCTGGACCCTTCCAACACAGGGAAAACACCTACCGTGTAAGAAACAGCCAATAGCATGAACTTGAAACTCCGTGTGATGATCCCCTTTAAGCCTATTCAGCCCAGTAAAGTGCATATGATCAGGCCCATTTCATAGATGAAGAAAGTTAGGTTCATCCATTAGTGCATCATACGGCTGGTATTTATACCAGGTCTGTCTGACTCCCAAGGTCACATTCAATTAGACATTATCTTTAGGTTTATTCTCTTGTTTGTTCGTTGGTTTGTTTTTGAGATTGGGTCTTGCTCTATTGCCCAAGTTGAATGCAGCCTCATCATAGCTAACCGCAGTCTTGAACTCCTAACCTCAAGCAATCGTCCTACCTTGGCCTCCAAAAGTGCTGCGATTTCAGGCATGAGCCACCATGCCTAGCCTGCATTTACTCTCTTGTAAGAAAGATATTGTTGTAAAACAGATGAGAATATAAAGAGGGGCATGAAAAAGCCGTATCACTGTTCATTGCAGCACTCAGAGATAATCATGGTTAACACGATATGTTCCCTCCCATCATTTGACTGGATGTATGTGATAATTAAAATGACCTCATAAGCTTTTCCTTATGTAATCAAACAGTAGCCAAAAACATGAGTTTAAATGGCTGCTCACAACCATCTCATGGCTCTGCCACACCTTATTCATCCCTGTCCACCCCCTACTCTCTTTCCCCTTCCCTGCCTGTGTGGGGGGTCCTAGATGATGGTGAGCCAGAGGGCAG